AGTGTTGTTCTCCAGTGCTGCATAGTGTTTTCGAGGAATGCAATGAGTGATGGATGTATTTTGTACATGTATAAAATATGTAGCAGCCAACTGTGTGGAGCACTGTCAAATGCTTTTCTGTAGTCTATATATGCCATGTGTATGTTTCTGTGTTGTTTGTGTGCTTGCCGTAAAATGACTGAATCTATGAGTAACTGTTCTTTGCATCCCCTGTGATTTCTACGGCAACCTTTTTGCTGTTCTGTAAGAATGTCGTGTTCTTCAACATGTTTGTATATTTTGTTTGTGATACAGGATGTCAATTTGTAGAGTGTTGGAAGACATGTAATTGGTCTGTATTGTGTGGTGTCTGTGGTGTTGTTGTTTTTAGGTTTCATTATTATTATTATATTATTAATGTTATAAGATAATTTAAAATGTTATAATTTTTCAATGGTACAAAATGACAAGTGTAATAAATGTATAGGATTACTATTTAATTGTTTATATTCACAAAAACAAAAATATATTACAATATTTCTTATATAATTAACAAAATTCTTATATTTATGCCATTGTGAAGAAACAGTGCCCAGAACCTCATCTTGGTCTGCTTATGTCATGAGCCTTTAGACATTGCACAATAATAAATATACCACCAGGACAATGACCTCACTTTGGTCATAGTTATGTCATATTTTTGTGTTAGCTGTAAAATGTTTTAACTGTATGAACTAATATCTGTTTAAGATATATTGTCCATTATTTGATATGACAGTTTTCCCATTGTTGAATCAGTTTTTTTATTCCTCTTTTATAAAATTAAGTTAATTTTGGCCAAAAAAAGGAAATTATAGGACAGTGTATAGGACAGTGTACTGAAGTTTTTTCTCTTAGACTAGTGTATAGAGATCAGAAGAGGTGATAATCTGTACGAGCTCAATCAGTAAGGTATATGAGGTAAAACTCCAAGGTCTCTTAAATTTTTGCTGGATGGCTATTACAACCTGTAATTTAGCATTGTTATAGAGCAGGGATGGGCAACTTTTTTAAGTGTACATGCTGAAATTGCCAAATCTATGCAGAATTTCCTCATATCCCAACCAAAATTTTTGGGAGCATATTATTTAGTGTCTTTTAAGTATTGAGAGCACCTTTTAAAGAATCAAAAATCCACATGTACACACCTTAGAAATGTGATTAAATTCTTTATGAACACAAAAAAATATATAAAATGATGGGAAAGAAATTCCTCCATGTCTGGCTACCTGCAACATCTGAATGGGATAAATCTTGTAACTTAGTATACTGCAGAGATCTTGTCTTGGAAACAGAATGTTTATTTCATTTTCTTATTACTTTATACAAAAACAGTTGATAGTATTTGTTTCTTTATTGCAATTTTACTTAGTATCATGCTTTTCGATAAAATTGTATTCTTTAAGTAATAATATACAACTCAGCAAAGTTGTTAGATATTTATTTTCTAAGGTGAGCTATAGGTTGTGTATAAGAAAAATTGTTGACATGCCACATTTGGCATCATGCCAAAAGTTGCTCACTCCAGTCATAGAGTAAAATCATTTCTGTTTACCAGATAAGAATGTTTTTCTTAAATATTTTTCTTTACTCTTGCTGTTGATAGTGCATAGTTATTTGGTTAGAACTAATCAGCTGAAAATGAATTATTCCTTTATATCCCACCATACATACAGCAGTATCTTTTTTTGGATGTAGCCTCTCAATTGATTCATTGTTTTTTATGTATGACAATTAATATAACTTCTCATCTCTGGTAATGAGTTAGTCCAGAAATGGTGTTTGCTGATTCAAAAGGAAAGTATTTATGGATACTCTATCCAAAAGGTTATGCTCAGTAAATTAGTGCTGTACCATTACTGCACACTTTCTACCTTTCCCAGTTGATGTTAGTAAAGTCTCACAATCCACTGTAGTCTCCTTATTGCAATTGATTGCGACTTCTCAGGCTGTAAGTTTTGTATTAGGTTTCACCACTGCAATAGTATCAGTATTTTCCAGGGATAAAAGGTTGCCCAGAATAAGGTTCATTGTCAACTTGAAAATTTCTGGCTTTAAATTTTTTTTAACTGTCATTGACACTTTCTAACATGTAGAACATCACTTTCATAAACTTCACAAATATTCTTTGTGACAGTAACTGCATTGCTACCTTTTTTTAAATCCATACAGCATTACATGTTATAAATGTTCTTAAGAGCAATTCATTTTGAATAGAGCTAATAAGCAAATTTTTACAAAATTTTAACAACATTCACTAATGGACGAACGAATTAAATCATTATATAAATGAAAAATTTCAATTCAAAAAGATAATGCAGCAGAAAAGCTGTCAATATATAATAAAAGTTAATTGTTTTAAAAGTAATTAATTTTAATTATATTTGAGATAATATTCAAACACTGAATGCTTGAATATTATTTCAAAAATCATTGAACATTCAACTATAGAATATTCTAATTATTAATTAAAATATGATCTGTAATTATTTCTTTAAAAAAACAAAAATAAAAGTGAATGTAATAGAGAAATTATAACTTTTATAAAATAAAATAAAAATATTAATTGTAATTTGTTATTTTCAGATGAATTATGGCCAATAAATGAAAAAGATAATAATTTTATATCAAGAAGCAGTGGTGGGACTTGTCGAAATTGCATGAAAATAGGACATTCTGTAAAAAATTGCAAGAATCCAAGAGTAATATTCAAAATAATGTATTTATGTTAATCCTAGAATATAAGATAAAATATATGCTCATTGAATAAAAATTTAAAAATTTGATCTTTAAGACATTGATCATATAAATTTATTTAGCTAAATAAAAATTTCTGTATCATTTGCATTTAAAATAACTACACTCATTTACAAAACTTAAAAAAAAAAATTAAAACATTAAATATATTCAGATTCTAATTTTTATAGTTTACAAAATACTAAATTTTTAAAAAATAACTTTGTAAAAATAGAATATTCAATTCAATTCAAATTTATTAGCAAAAGGAACAGATTTCCCTGTTACAGGGGGTAATACATATAGATGATGATAGTTAACAATTTTAGTTTACAAAAGTATTATATTGATAATAAAACGATCATAATTTAACAGAACCGTACAGTCATTTTGCCTTATATCTTATAGGCATGAACAGAATAAGTAAAAAATACCATATTAGCACATTTAAGTTTTATAATGATTTTTATTTACTATTAATAACATTTATTTAATTTTTTAAAAATATTTTCCGTAATTTTAACAAAGTAATTATAAATTTTATATAGATCCTTTTTTTTGAGAGAGTTTAAATTTATTGAGTTCAAGAGGTGATATACAGTTACATATTCGTATGATATCATATTGTTCATGCATATTTGTAAGTTCTTGGCAGTTTTGTAGAAGGTGAAATGATGAGAAGTATTCAGATTGACATAAACAACAATGTGTATTTGAAAAGTTTATGTAGATATTATTGACAAAGAGAGAATATTTCAAATCAATTGGTTGCCACATATATGACTGAGAAGATGGAATTTTGAATAAGTTGGTGTACCAGGGATGATAATTACTATGGTTTAAAGACGGCTGATCTTTATTTATAGATTGAGATATGGCAGAGCTTAATAGAAGAGTATAACCATATTTCCAATCCTGAATGATATCTTTAAATAATAGTTCTGATACACCAAATGAGTTCAAAATTTTACTTAATTTGTATTGCCAAAGCTGCTTGTAATTTATGTTTACATTTTTGCACTGCTTGATTATTTCTTGATGTAGGAAAGTTATATTATTGTCACTTTTGAATTTGAATCTATAATAAAATTTAATTATACGTTTTAATAGCAGTGGTAATGACCAGATACGATTTGTTTCATGTCAGAGAGCATAACTGGGAATTGTTCTTTCTAGATGGAATAATTTACGTAGGAAATAGATATGAAAGGACTCGAGTTTATATAAATAATCCAGACTCCAGATAGGGCTTGCATAGTAAATAATAGGGTTGATTATAGAATTGTATAGTTTCATATGGATATTCAAATTAGAGGTTTTCAGGGTTGAGCATAGAAATAGAAAGTTGTTGATAGCCTGCTTTACTTTGATGTTGATTCTTGAGATTTGAGCTTTGAAAGTCACATTCCAATCAAAGACGACACCCAGATAGTTTACTTCATTAACTGTTTGTAGTAGAGTATTGTCATGGTATATTTTAGTTTCTTTTTCAGATATTTTGCTATTATTGCAAAAAATAATAATGTTGGTTTTAGCCGGATCTATTACTAAGTGAATTGATTTAAAATAAAGATTTAGCTGGTTAATTTTTCTTTGTAATGATATTTTGGTGGGAGCTAATATTACTAGATCATTTGTGAATTGTATGTAGTGAAAGATTCTATTATTTATTCCAATACCATCGATAGAATTATGAAAAAGTTGATCAATGCTGAGTAGATAGAAATTAAATAAAAATGGCGAAAGGGCAAAAGACGAAACCTTGAAGAACACCATGAGAAAGAGTTAGAGAGGGGAAAAGGATCTTTGTTATATTGGATCTTGATCTTTGTTATAATTTGAGAAAAGCTTTTTTATAGTAGATACAAATTGGATACTTACACCGCAGGCTTTTAAATTATTTATTAGTAGTGGGATATAGATTGAATCAAAAGCTTTTTGTATATCAATGAAAGCAGCATATACTTTTCTATGTTTTTTTAATAGATGAAGTTGTATTATCATTAGTAATATGAATATTGCCAATTCAGTTTCTTAATTTTTGGTAAAAGCATATTGAAATTTATTAATTATTATTGCCTTATTGTCCTTATTTCAATGCTTATTATATTTGTCAACTTGGACTTAAATTATTAATAGGACTGTTAAACTGATGTTAAGTATTAATGCAAAATTGAGCAAAAGTTCTCAAAGAAAACAGACTTCCTTTATTGAGCCTCCTGCCTCCTTTACTGTACACATACTTTTCTTTACAACTGTGTTTCGGGCTATCAACCCCTCCTCATCAGGGTTACAATAGCTATCGGTTTTAAGAAATATGAGTCCAACTCCCGACAACAATGGGCTTTTTGATGGAATTTAGATTGATTTCAATGTTCAGCTCGAACGAGCTGAACATTGAAAAGGATAATGAATATTTTGTATTTCTTAAAAACAATAGCTATTGTAACTCTGCTGAGGAGGGGTGTGATAGCCTGAAACACAGTTGTAAACAAAAGTATGTGTACAGGAGGCTCAATAAAGGAAGTCCGTTTCCTTTGAGAACTTTTGCTCAATTTTGCATTAATACTTAACACCAGTTTAACAGTCCTATTAATAATTTAAGTCCAAGTTGACAAATATAATAAATATTGAAATTTAGCTTCCAGATCAGTAACTTTAGTCCATTGTTAAAATTTATTTGCCAGTATTGAGGTGAAGCATTTTCTTATAGTTGATAATAATGCTATAGGTCTGTAATTATTAGGGGAAAGCTGATCACCCTTTTTATGGATCATGGTAAGAATAACTGTATTCCAAGAATTAGGAAAAGAAGTGGCTTTGTATATGGTGTTAAAGAGATTTAACAATTTTACCTGGAGCAATTTAACCTGGAGCTATTTGGAAGCATTTTTAGAAATTTAGTAGGAATATTATCATTTCCTGGGGTTGAGTTGCTCTTTGTTTTGTTTTCTGAATTGCTTCATTCAATTCTTCAGTAGTAAAATCAGAGTCTAAATATTCGTTATAAGCATCAGTGTTTATTATTGGTAGTAAGTTTGAATGAATTTTTGGGAATTTTTGATAAAAATTTTTCCAAGTATCGAAGTCAATGATTTTTCAATTCAATGATGAAATTGGTGAATTTTCAGTTAGGTTTGATTTAAAACGGAATCTTTTTATTGTAGATCAGAATAATTTACTGTCTTTACTATTTTTGATTAAGTTTGATTCAAGTTTTCTGAAGTAGTTTTTCTTTTTTGTCTTGAGTAAGTTGTTGCAGGATTGTTTGGCTCCCTTGTAATTAATAAAATTAGTATCATTAGAGTTTACTCTGAAAATTTTTAGTTTAGATTGCTTTTTCATTTTCATTTTGTAACAATCAAAATTGCACCAGATTTGTCTGAATCTATTATGGAGGTTTCTTTTTTCATTATTATTGTATATATAATCTTTCATTATATTTGTCATTAATTTATAAATTTCTTCACTGTTGTTTTCTGTTATTATCGGAATGTCAGTAAATCGATTTTCAATTTCTATTGAATATCTTGAAGTTTTGTATTTTATTCTTTGACTTTTAATTGATAAGCTGTCTGATTTCTTAGTCAAGAATAGTAAAAATTGTAGGTAGGTGATTGGAGATGTCGAAAGTAGTTGTGGTGAAGTCCAGACAGTAATCCAGTAGTAAGTCTGAGCAGATTGTATAGTCAATAGTAGATTTTCCAGCATATGTTAAACAAGTGTATTCAGCAGGAATATCAGGCTTGACGCATCCATTTATTATGTACATTTTATGATCCATTATTATTTCTATTAGTTTTTCCCTAGTATATTAAGCTGTTTATCTTTTGATTGACGAGTATTTTGTATTAGAAGATTAGGTCCATCATATTTAGAGTCCATTGTTTCACCAATTCTTGCATTAAAATCTCCTAGTATAATAGAGTAGGGAGTTGTATGTTGCCAAATATCAATTAGTTGGAGGTTTCATTTAGATTTGTTAAATCATCAGGAGGGATATACACGAGCATTAGAGTCATTAATTTATTAGTTATATTTGCAAGAATGGATTTGTTGATTGAGCTAAGAAGTGGGATGTAGTTGTCAGATTTTTTTGTTTGTATTATTTGATGAAAATCTTTTTTTATTAATATACAGAGACCACCACTTGGACGACCTGGGCCTATTGGTTTATGTGCCATTACTGATTCTATTATAAATTTATAAAAAAATTTGGCTTATAAGTTAATTCAGAGGTTATCCAAGTTTCTGTTATAGCGAAGATATCGGGTTCAAGCTTGGAATAAAAAGAGTTGATTAGAGGAATTTCATGTTTAATACTGTGGATATTCCAGTTGACAATAGTAAATAATTGGTTGTTCAAATAAGTTTTATCGTATTGAATTTTACTTTGCTTCTTAGTATATCAGCTTGTTTGTACAGTATTTGTTAGCCTAGAAGACGGAAGAAAGGTATCTACGTGGACTAATTTCCCGGTATTTAGACTGTAAGTTAATTTTTTCACGTTCAATTATTAAAGTGTCATTACGTAGTTTGACCTGACGATTATGTTTCGCAGTTCGTAGAAAGTTGGGAGATTTATATATATTATCAAATAATTTAAATATAACCTTAACCTATATTAAACTAACAATTTATGACTAGAATATACAGTAAATTTTTAATTTTACTCTTGATCAATGTTAGCTTAAAATTATCTTTTATTTCTTGAAAGCCTTGACGATTATGTTTCGCAGTTCGTAGAAAGTTGGGAGATTTATATATATTATCAAATAATTTAAATATAACCTTAACCTATATTAAACTAACAATTTATGACTAGAATATACAGTAAATTTTTAATTTTACTCTTGATCAATGTTAGCTTAAAATTATCTTTTATTTCTTGAAAGCCTTGAAATATCAAATTTGTTTATGTTATTTAATTCGTATTAATAGATAACAAGTTTTGAATAAAAAAAAAAAAAAGATAATGAAGATCTGTTTATTAATTTATATAATACAGAAAAATATATGTTTAATTCATAAATAATTAATTTTGAATGAGTTTTATAAGTTTACACAACTATCTCCTGAAAATCAAGCTGAAAACTATTATAGTTCTTAGCTTATTTCATATTTAATTTTACTTAAAAACAAAATTATTATTATAAAATTGATTATCAAAAAAAAATTATAATTTAAATATGAGCTTAGCATTATCTTAATATATAATATAACTTATGTTGTAACCGTATCATTGATATTAAATTCTCTGTGCATATGAAGATATTGATTCAACTGTCGACTAATCTTTTCTTCTTGATTTATGCGCTAATAAATCAATTCAGATTTATTTTTAAAAAATAACTAGAGTAAATCCAGTATCGTTTGATCTTCTTNGAAATTTTACTCAAAAATTACTCCCATATTTTGCTTTTAACTGACTAATCTAATCAAGAAAATTGTTTAGACTATTATTTTCAATATTTAATAATAAAGTATGTTTATAATTTCAATTTATTTTACAAATTTATTTAATTTCAAATAAATTTAATAAGTTTATAAAATATATAAATATCAAGTATGTTTATTTTAGGTTTTAACAAATTCTCATAAACCTTTATCACAAACATTTCACCTTTATTTCTTTAATTTATTTACTATTAAAGAAATTAATACTGAACATATTTTTTTAAATGATTGTTATGAAATTAAAGTATAAATTATAACTGAAATTATGAATTCTAATTAAATGAATTGAATTAATTTTATTTTAATTAGAAAATTAATTTTATGATCAAATCTTCCCAAACCACTACTACTTATGTATATGATAAATGCTAGAAAAGTTAAAAGTTTTTTCTGTATGTAGGAAAGTTACTGTGTTTTGGGGCATTATTTTCTATAGGCATTTCAAAAAAAAGATTTTGTAAGTGAATTACAAAATCATACAAAATCTTTTTTTAATTCTAGTTTATAAATTGCCTGTAGGCTTGATAATTTATGGAGTACAATTGAAATATGGCTTTAATAATTAAAGACAGACTTAATACATTTTAATAATTAAAGATAAAACAATGTTTATAGTTAAATAATATATCTTGTTTAAATGCAATTTTAACATTATTATGTTATTTTAACATTAAAAAGATAAATATCCAAGGAATTTTCAAGTCATTTAAATTAATTATGCTGAAAAAGTTGAGGAAAAATATGGTAATTTTTTTTTCCTTATAACATTGTTTTTGTAGAACTATGAATATATACTGTACATGTTTAGTAGAATAGTAGATCCTTGCTTTTATGATCTAATTGATTCCTGGAAGAACAGACATTAAGCAAGCTGTCCTGTTTCAATTTAAGCTCAATATGTAATTAAGATTGCATTCCTTTTTATTGTAAGATATTAAAATAATGGAATAATATAATGCAGTTTACTACATAAATGTGACAATGAAATCAAACATTGTAAAATTGTTAATATTTAGATTTCAAATTTCTAGTAGAAAAAGTAATTGAATATGAAAATTTAGCCAAATTATGGGAATCAGTAAATTTATAATAAAATTATTACTTAAACTTATCTTTCAATTTATATACAGTGGTACCTCAGGATACGAAATTAATCCGTTCTGAAACTGAGATCGTATCATGAAAATATCGTAAGGTGGATCATCTTTTCCCATACGATTACATGTAAAACCAAATAATTCGTTCCAACGCGAAAAACATACTCAAATTAAAGCCAAGTAATACATTAAAAAAATAACTGTAGTAAGAAAAACAAATGAAAAATGCGAACTAATGTAACGTCGTATGGTGAGTTTTTGTTCGTATCGTGAAGCAAAAATATGTTCGAATTTCATGTCGTATTCTGAAAATTTCGTATGCTGGGGCGTTCGTAACCTGAGGTACCACTGTATTTTATTTTTTAATTTTAGATATAAAAATAATTATAAAATTTTTCAGAAAATACCACTTTGTTTTATTTGTGGAAGTGATAAACATGAAGGAGAAGTTTGTAAGGAAATAAGATGCAGCAGGTGTTTAAGACTTGGCCATTATCCAGAGCGTTGTAACTGGTATGAGAGGGAATGGAATATTTGTAACCTATGCAAAATTCCTGGTCATTTTTTTGAAGTAATTATATTTTTACATAAATTAAATTTATCAGTTTCTTGATTTATATTCAATTGAGTCTCAAGAAAATGTATAAAAGAATATTTCTTTATAATTAAAATTAACTGTTAATTTTAAAATAACAATTAATTTTTTTAACATGCACAAAAAGCAAAGCAAAATGTAAAAAATATAAATGCAGGGTGTCCCACTTAAAATTGGCCTGATTGAGATGATGAAACAATAGATATGAAATATATTTTAGAATTTTAATTAAATATGTTTCTTATAAAAATTACATAGTATGTATATTTTTAATAGCTTTGTATTCAATCATACATATCAACAAAAAATCAAAATAAAGTTTGACTATAAAGAATTTTGATAAATTGGAACCATCATAATAAGTCTTCCTGAAAAATTGCCCAAGAGAGTTTTATAATTACATTTTGTAAAAACAATTAATCATGAAACTATTCATATCATTCATCAGATTTACACTGTTTTTAAATACATCAATAATTTGTTCAAGTGTCATTACATATATATATATAATAATTGGCAATATCAATTGCTAGCATTCTCTGTAATGTAATTCTTCTACTTTTTATTTTTTTTTCCATAGAGTTAATGAAGTTGTATTGTTGATATACACTAAATAAGTTTTGAGATACCATTAAATAAGTTTTGATTAACCATTTTAATGAAATAAATCACTAGGTAAATCACTTATGCTTTATACAAAATTATTGAATACACATTAATTAAAGTTGATAAATACAAATCTTTATTGAATAAAAATATCTAGGACAAATATATAGTTAGAAAATTTTTTGGAATAGAAAAGAAATTGAAAAAATGATGGATTTGAACCATAACATTACTGTATAAGATAGTACATGGAAAATAATTTTAAATTAATAAAATTGTTTAATTTGAAAAAAATTTTTAATAATTTTTTTGTATTATATAGGAATGTCCTGATATGTGGAGGCGATATCATCTCACAGTATGTATATTTTTAATAGATACTTATTTTGAAATTTTAATTTCTCAAGATTATGGTTAAAAATATTTTAATTACTTTATTTTGTTTAACAGACTTCTACAGGAAATATTGTTTCTCAGTCTTCTCAGTTGCCAAATCCATATAAATTTTGTTATAATTGTGCAGAAGAAGGACATTTTGGGCATGTAGGTTTTACTTTTTAATATTAATTTAAAACTAATAAATTTGCCCATCAAGAATGATGAAAAATATGATTTTGTAGTAAAGTGAAAATAAATGAAACAAGCACAATATTTTATTGAAGAAAAACGCTAGTGTACATCACAAAACTTTGTAAAAAATATTTCTGTTAGCTGTGTCATTTTTATCATCATTATATGTAATTTTTACTTTTATGAAAAATTGCCACACTGCAATTTTAAAGTTATTCTGATTAGTTACTATTTTATCTATTGATAAAATTCTTTACAGTTCTTTCAGGTTGGCAACTTAATGTAGAAAAAAACTTTTTTGGATGTTTTGGATATGATAAAATCACTTTAAAAAAAAGTAATAACTTACTAAACTTGAATTTAAAATAGTTGTTTAACAAAGCACTAAACCATGCAGATTGCCATGCTGCTGCAACAATGTAGTCCATGTTTGCTGGTAGACACTTGTGATCTCCAATATTTTATTTAATACTCACTCAAACTTTAATGAACATGAAATAATTTTAATATAAAGTAAAGCATATAATAAATTTAATTCAACATTTTTAATATCTTGCTTAAAAAATAATATTATTAAAGTGAAGCATGTGATGGCACAAATAGTCACATGACAAAATGTAAAGTTTTTATAAATCTTACAAATATATTTAAAACTATATTTTTTATGAAATATCTATATTGAAACAATTAGTTTAAGATATAAATTATCATACAACACAAAAGATTCTAGTAATTTTAATAAATTAATAACTGTGTTTATGTTAAATAATAATGTATTATTTAGTCAAATTAATAAATCTAATTAACATCTAAACTCCTATTCCAATAAGTGAAAATATGACAATTGGAGGGTGCTGATTCAGGACTGTAGGCATGATGTGGAGGCACTTCTCACCCCATTTACTGAATTTCCTCCATGGTGTAAGGAGCAGTGTGTGGCCTCATATTGTTGTGCTGCAGGATGATCTTCTCAGGACACTTATCACATAATACACAACAGAGCTTATGAAGTGTCATGACATACCAAGCAGCTGGTTTGCCTAAGTTCAAGAAATTCCACCTGAATGCACCCCATCTGCATCCCAAAACAGCTATGCAGATGGCTGCTACAAAGCTGATCCTTGATGCTTGGGTTTCCATCTTTAAAATGTTTTACCCATCTTCTAACACTGCTGGCATCTAAACACACATTTTCATATGCATGCTGAAATTTCTGGTGAATTTCTGCCACAGAAATTCTCTCTTTAACGAGAAATTTAATCACCAAATGCTGCTGAAACAAAACATCAGTTACAGCAATTTTGTAGTGACTGTCTGTGGTCACGTGATAGAAGCTAATGACATTATGACTCATGACACTGTCTATAGTATATAGATTATGACAATGTTCTTAGTTTTTCATAATTAATAGATTGTGATTTATAAAAAATTGTTGCTCATGACTTTCAGTATGACCTACATATATGATGATAATGAGAGTTATATTGAATTTCATTGTTATTGAATATCAAGACAGTTCATAAAATTTGTGTTAGTGGAATAAAAATTGGAAAACCAAAATGTCAAAACAAAATGTCAAATTCATAAATATTAAATATGAGAAATAGTTTGTCATAAAATAAGTATTTTCTGAAATAATTATCATAATGTGTATTTTTAATAAAGAAAATTAATAACAATTATTGTGATGCACATTGTTATAAACACCAGTAATAAATATTATCATAACTGTATTTAAAGGAGTAAGTATTCATTGGGAAATGATGATCTTTCTATATATGTATGAAATTTAGATTTTTTGTTTATATGTGAATTTTTGTTTATATTATATTGTTAGATTCAACAATGGTTATTGAATCTAACAATAAATGGCCTAATTGTTCAATCTGAAAATCATTTTTTTAAAAAAATAGGAAAACAAACAAAATGTTTGAAATAATTTGTAGATTTTAGACATTTAAAACTAAAATTTTGCATATTAGATGGTAAATGTGAATTTGAAATTGCTCATTATTTAATTAATGAAATGTCTAAATTTACATTGTTATTTTTATTTAGCTAAAATTAAATAAATTTAAATAAATTTAAAACTATAAACTCACTTATGCTTTATACAAATTATTGAATACAAATTAAAGTTGATAAACAAAAATCTTTATTGAATAAAAATATCTAGAACAAATATATAGTTTAAAAATTTTGTTGAATAGAAAAGATTAAGAGAACATTTTCATAATCTGTCCTTTACACTTTAGGAACATAACAAAGTCACACTGCAGAGTTGGTCTTTATTGTGAAACTCTTATCCAACTCAATAAGTGAAAGTTGTCAAAATTGTCTCAGAAAAAATTATTATGAAGGATCGCTTTCAACTTTTTGGAGAATTTCTTCTATTCTATGTTTTTTTAATTGTATTTTCATTCTGAAAGGTTTAACAATGATATTTTTACATGATGCCACTTCCAGAGGGATGATTTTAACAAGTTTTACATTTTGAGGCAAAGAAAAGCCTTAAATAAAGATCAGCTTCACTATGTGACTTTATTGTGTTTCTGAAATGTGTGAAAATGATGAATTATGAATATGTTTTATTTTTTAGTATTTCTTCTATTCCATAGAAGTTTTTAATAAATCATTATTATCAAGATACTTCCAATAATTGGTTTTGTTATCTTCAAATATGTATAGATCATATGACATANATATCAAGACAGTTCATAAAATTTGTGTTAGTGGAATAAAAATTGGAAAACCAAAATGTCAAAACAAAATGTCAAATTCATAAATATTAAATATGAGAAATAGTTTGTCATAAAATAAGTATTTTCTGAAATAATTATCATAATGTGTATTTTTAATAAAGAAAATTAATAACAATTATTGTGATGCACATTGTTATAAACACCAGTAATAAATATTATCATAACTGTATTTAAAGGAGTAAGTATTCATTGGGAAATGATGATCTTTCTATATATGTATGAAATTTAGATTTTTTGTTTATATGTGAATTTTTGTTTATATTATATTGTTAGATTCAACAATGGTTATTGAATCTAACAATAAATGGCCTAATTGTTCAATCTGAAAATCATTTTTTTTAAAAAATAGGAAAACAAACAAAATGTTTGAAATAATTTGTAGATTTTAGACATTTAAAACTAAAATTTTGCATATTAGATGGTAAATGTGAATTTGAAATTGCTCATTATTTAATTAATGAAATGTCTAAATTTACATTGTTATTTTTATTTAGCTAAAAATAAATAAATTTAAATAAATTTAAAACTATAAACTCACTTATGCTTTATACAAATTATTGAATACAAATTAAAGTTGATAAACAAAAATCTTTATTGAATAAAAATATCTAGAACAAATATATAGTTTAAAAATTTTGTTGAATAGAAAAGATTAAGAGAACATTTTCATAATCTGTCCTTTACACTTTAGGAACATAACAAAGTCACACTGCAGAGTTGGTCTTTATTGTGAAACTCTTATCCAACTCAATAAGTGAAAGTTGTCAAAATTGTCTCAGAAAAAATTATTATGAAGGATCGCTTTCAACTTTTTGGAGAATTTCTTCTATTCTATGTTTTTTTAATTGTATTTTCATTCTGAAAGGTTTAACAATGATATTTTTACATGATGCCACTTCCAGAGGGATGATTTTAACAAGTTTTACATTTTGAGGCAAAGAAAAGCCTTAAATAAAGATCAGCTTCACTATGTGACTTTATTGTGTTTCTGAAATGTGTGAAAATGATGAATTATGAATATGTTTTATTTTTTAGTATTTCTTCTATTCCATAGAAGTTTTTAATAAATCATTATTATCAAGATACTTCCAATAATTGATTTTGTTATCTTCAAATATGTATAGATCATATGACATATATAAAAGATAGAATATATTCATGTGTTATGATGATTAGTTGTTGAAATATTGGCATATTAAATTCTGTTTATTGAATAATTTAACTGATTTATTTTCAATATTAATATATACATATATTTTTAGTTGTAACAGTAAATATACACACACAGATAATTATATTAAGAGGTAATTAATTATAAGATAGTATGTTCTAACAAATTTCAGAAGTTTAAAATTAAAAATATTGAATAAATACATTAGGAAATGTTTTCATAAAGTTAGTTTAACATTAATTCTCTTAGATGTATTAATGAAACAGTTTTAATTATGTTAGTTTAGGAAAATCCTATAAACAAATTCAATAATAATAGTTTAATTTTTCAGGAATGCCATGAAAATAGATTAGATAAGTATTCCTATCCTTCTAATCCTTTCATCATCAGCTATGGTATACAGAAAGAAACCAGTAATTCAGTTAAAACTGTAAGTATTAACTGAATTAATTTTTTTTTTTTTTATAAGATTAGTTGTTAAAATATTGGCATATTAATCTGTCCTTTAATCTGTCCTGTACTACCATTTAATTTAGGTGTTACAAATAATTCATGTATCAATTGGCAGAAGTATAGTTAAATTTTTCAATATATACTCAGATTCTTTAAATATTATGACACACACACCTTATATCTCTGAGAACTAATATTTATTGTTTTACAAATGTTTTCAACCTGATCTACAGGCCATTGTCAGGTATTTTGAATTCTCTGGAACGTTTTTTGTATTGTATTGTATAGTTAAATTTCTATTTATGACTATTGAATTTAATAATAGTTTTAATTTTTCCAATATAAAATGAGATAAATATACACTAATAATATGTTTACATTAGGAAAGTTAACCCTGTCAAGCCTTTGAATCCAAGTAACGTTTTTATTTGAGCAAGATGAAGTTAGCTGATTCTGATTGATATTGTAACAACTGGGTTATTTTAACACTCTCTGAAACTGAGTTAATTTTTTTAAGTGGGTTAATGACATGAGTCACATGTTCATGCTATAATTAACACTGGAAGAATGACATCTTTGTTAATTTAAATGAACTTGCATTCTATATGAATATCTTATGTTCTAGTTATTCCTGGTTAACTTAATCAGGATAAATCTTACCAAGTTAACATTCATTGTGTAAACATAGATAATGGAGTTTATTGAAAATGGAAATAAACTGTCATCATTTTAGTTAACCAGTATCAGAAAAAAAATATTTATCTATTATTATTTATTATTTTGGAAACAATGACAAATAATAATACATTTTATGACAATATGGTGGATTTAACAAACCTCCAGAATAGTGGGAGGAACAAGGTAAATTATTGGAGATAAATCATATTTTCAAATCATTACACAGCACTTTCTGCTTAACTTTAAATAAATTGTCAAAAATTTTTTATTGATATACAAAGATAAAGATAAAAAATATTTTATTAGAATAATAAAATACTTTTTATCTTTATTTATTGAAAACTTTTTTTTTCTAACTTTAATAATTTTCTAGTTTTCTTTCAGAGAGTTGTTATTACTTGTGCTCTATTTAAATTTAAAACAGTAATATAACAAAAAAATAATATTAACAGTTATCTTTATATATTTTATTACTATATAATATTTATTTCATTAGTTATATGAAAAATATAATCTCACTGAGAAAAAAAAGAGTTGAATTACTGGCATTAGCTGTCTTGCATTTTTGTGCTAGATATTTGTTCATTTCACTTTTGTTGAATAACTTATTTTCACCATTAGAAAAATATCTGTAAAAACTTATATTTAGAAACATTTACAGTTTTATCACAAAACATTCTGAAAATTTATCTAAAACATAATAAAGCAATAAGTTTTGAGTTGATAATAGCTTTAAATGTTAATATAATTTCATTTTCCAATATTTTAACTGATATACATTTAATAAAAATGGCCAGGACAGTAAGTGTAAATTAAACAAAAATTAAGGCTATACAATAAAAAGTCTTCTTTAGTCCTTTTTCACACCTCAGGAAATAACAATCTTAAGTGGAGTTGACTTTTTATCAGAGGCTGCTCATCTGCCTCACTATGCAAAACATTATAAAAACTTCTCTCTAATGACAGCACAAGTAATGAGGTGTGAGAAAGGACAAAAGAAGACTTTTATTGTATAGTCTTAATTTTTGTTTAATTTATATGAATTGAATTGAAGATATGGCAAAAACTATTTACGGAATGAAATTGTTTTCATAATTTTATTCTGTAAAGTTAACATTTTTTGAAAAGTTGTGATAATGATTATAAATGAGATAGATTAATAATGATAAGTAGAGAATCAGATCAAAACTAAATAAAATAAATAAATAAATAAATAGTGTGAAATTTTTATAAGAATAGAAATTAATTGATAATCAAAGTGTTTATTATTTAGTACCACTTTTTATTCTTCCAAAAATAACTTATGCAATAAATTTATCATTTCAAGTCAAAAAACATGTTATGATTATGTAAGCAAAAAATTTTTTTTCAATTGATTTAGTTCTCAACTATATGAATGAATAATAATAATGTTTCCAGATTACTCTATTATTCAAATTTTTAAGGTCTTTGTTTATTTTTAAGTTGAAGATAGTCTTATAAAAATCAGTTTTTCTTTGTTTTTTGTTGATATAGTAGCAAAAAACTATTAACATTTGTTAGAAACAGTATTTAATTTAGTAAGCAAAAATCGGAGAGAATACGAGGGGGCGCTGATGTCTACTTGTGCCAAAGTTGAAAAGACAAGGTGTATATGAAAGCAGAGCTAAGTCTCCTTGTATTAGTTTTTACAATAACTTAAAGTGTGTTAAAGTATTAAACTGAAAGTGTCCACTTGTGCAAAATACTGCATAACATTAACATTTTTAAGGGTAAATCAGGGTATCCAGTTAAACATGTGTCCAGGGGCAAGAGAGATCTTTTCAGCAATAGTTAGGTTATAGACTGCAATAGACACAAATACACCAGATATTATGTTGCCAAAATATGTACCCATTCTACTATTATCTACCAGCACAACATGCAAAGGATACAGGACAGCAATTTGAGTAGCAAGTACTTTGTGATTTTAAATACAAGGTGTGTTCAAAAAGTATCGGACCTTTGGTCGGCAAAAATAAATTTATTGATTTTGATGTACAAAACCCTAATCCCCATCAAAGTAGTCTCCTTGGTAATGTATACACTTCTCCCAGCGTCCCTGCCATTGCTGGAAACACTGCTGGAACGCATCTTTTGGAATGGCCATCAGCCGGTCCGTCGCATTCCGCACGATGTCTTCTCTCGACTAAATTCGGGTTCCTTTTAGCGGCATTTTCAGCTTGGGAAATAGCCAAAGGTCACACGGAGCCATGTGGGGAGAGTACGGAGCGTGACGAACCACAGGAGTATTGTGTTTGGCGACGAAAGCCCGAATCAGATGCGCAGAATGGGCGGATGCGTTATCACGATGGAGCTGCCAAGTTTTGATCGACCACAGATCCGGTCGTTTGCGTCGCACTGTATCGGAAAGACGACGAAGGACCTCCTGGTAGTACTCCTTTGCGATGGTTTGGCCTTGTGGTGCGTACTCACGACACACCACCCCACGAGAGTCGAAAAAACTGTCAACATGACCTTTGATATTGCTGCGGACCTGCCGCGCTTTTTTTGGCCTCGAGGATCGTCCCCGAAAGCCTGCTGAATCTTGTGAATGGTTTACGCTTGGGTATTGCCAAGGTTTTTGGCAAAATTTGATGTAATATCGCTGCTCACGTTGTTCAGTCATTTTCCAGCTTAGTGGAATCCGACGAGAGCGCACTACATGACCTCACTCATAGGCCGATTGCCAACGACTGACGCTTCCTGCAGGCGGGAAAAAATTTAGGGCTGTGCATGACTGTCCCCTCCACAACTCCACCGAAGGATGCCTCTCGCGCATCATTGGTTTGCGCGGAAAAAAAAAAAGTCTGATACTTTTTGAACAGACCTTGTATATTACAGAAACTACAATTCCTTCAGCACATTTTACAGACTGACAAATCAGTTTTACCAGAATGGAGTTTATAACTGTCACAATGTGCACCACCACTGGACAGTGCATGCTCCACAATACATGTGACATATGCAACACAAAGTACATTTTACTCTAAATGTCTTGTGGAATTTGGAGTGAGCAGCTTCTTGGTCCCATATTGATAGACAACACCTAGAATAGTGGCTGATATCTGTACGTCCTTAACATGAATGATTGGATGGATGGCTTGATGACTTGCCATTGACACAACTACAGTAGATACAATATTTTGGCATACTACCTTATTCTGAGTTAGACATTGTCAGTGGCTCACAGAGCAGTTTTGTAACTATTGGATAGTTACTTGTTGCCAACAAGGCCTTGTTGCCCTATTCATTGCAACCATATGCCTTTGACTTAACCTCTCTGGATTTTTTCCTGTGGAGAGTCACCTAAAAGCATTGGTGCATGATGTGTAGCTAGTAACACCATATGATGTCAGTGAACTGGAGAGATAAATCAAAGAACCTGTGCAACAGTGACACAGGAATGCTATGCTCAACCATTTACAACATTGTGATGCTGCTGAAGACAATTATTTCAAATAGGATCTCTAACAAAATAAAGCTTACTTTTTTACATCAATTTTTGCAATGTTGCTATTATCTTTTATAGTCAGAGATTATTTGTATGCTACACTAAATTGTTTTAATAAATTCATTTTGATTTTAACACATGAACAAGTGTGCATCACAAGCATACACTCAAGCAGTGCTAAAAAGATTGTTTTTGCATCCTGAATAGATGTTTAAGTATAAAATCTTGATAAGTATTTAAAAGAGAACACATTATGAATTTTATTTTTCCTTAAGTAAATAGGATATATACAAATGTATCAGAATATATCTATCACAGATCTAATAATCAAATCATTAAGTTTAATAATGATAATTCAGTAATGAAGATGTTTTTTTTTAGGTATTCTTTCTCAACAAATTAAAGTTTTTGGTTTAGGAAATTTTGTATAAAGTGTGTTAATGAGACAATGGATCAAATCTTTTTTCGTATTGATGATATAAAACAAGATAAATTGAAATAAGAATAATAATAAATGAATAAAAACTTTATTTCAAAATATAATATTTATTTTTAAAAAAATTTTTAAGAGGATTTAAATAAAATAACAATTTTTAGTTTAATAGAATGAAAAAGTGATAAGAAGATATAAAAGTATTTTTGTTACCTTCAAGTAATTTTACACTTATTATTTTATTACACTATGAATTTCTTAAAAATTTTCTGGTCACTCTTACAATAAAATGAGTGATTTGTAATTGATATATTTTGTGTGTTAGCTTAACTTTTATTTTATTCCAAATTCATATAATGAAACATTTTAACATTTTACATAGAAGGGATTATTTCATTTAGTAATTATCATTATTACATATAAAATGGAATTAATAACACAAAATATATATTTTTTTCATTATGTTAAACAAACATTGATTCAAACTGTTATCCGCTGTCTAAATGTAATTTCTAAATAAATTTAAGTACAGTATATGTTATCTGATATATTGTCAAAAATATTATAAAACATGTTATTTTTTTGTTAAGTATCAAAACTTTATTATACTCTATATAGTTTATTTATTTATTATTATTATTTTTTTTTATAAAATTCATAAAGCAGTTTTTTATTATACAAAAACATGTTGAAGAGAAAAATGATAAAATTGAATTTCTTTATTGGAACAAAAGCTAAATTTTAAGGAAACAAAACTTAATAAAGACAATGAAAATGAGCAAATAAAATGTTCATTGTCATAAATAGCATTGAAATAAATCATATTGAGGCTTTGAATAAATAATTCTATCAGTTTTTTGAGAATAAAATAAAATTTTTGCAAAACAAAAACATATAGTAATAAAATGTGGATAAGTCTGTAGAAATTTAAAACAAAATATAAATTTAAAAATCATTACCAGTATGAATATAAAGAAATTAATTTTTGATTTGATAATATTCAGAATATTTAATATGACAAGTATTTTAAAAATGTAAATATATTTAATTATTTAATAAAAAATATTTTGAAAAAACAAATAAAATTACTCCTTTTCAACGAAAAACCATATTTCTTTGATATGCTTAATGGATCATCTTTAGGTTTGGATTCTAACTTTTATTTGAAATACATTATAAATATTCAAGTAAAATATTTAAACAACAAAACAAAAACTTAACTACAAACTTTAATGATAATGACAGAAATTTGCAATCTCTGGCATTTAACACACAAAAACTGATAAAGAAGAGAGAGTTTGTTTTTTTAAAAATATCAAATGTTGGAAGTGTAGATTTCATTTGTTTTTTCAGTTATCAGTGAATCTCTTTTCAGAAAAACATTTTTTTTTTAAATAATCATAATTGGTGGTTAATATTTATTTAATTAAATAATTGTTTACAAAATTATTTTTATATAAAAATTTTTAAAATAATGTCTTTAATATACTTAAAGGAGGTAAAAAAGATTGTAAAAGAAAAATCTGAAGAACCCGAAGAAACCATCAAAAAACGTTTTAATGTTTTTAAAGAACTCTGGTCTAAACAGTGAATTTTGTGATTATGTATACACAGAGTATTTTCCTTAATAGATTTTATCAAAAAAATTATCTACATCCATTATTTAATAATAGAGGTATTTATTGTCTAAAAATTTCTTCCACTAATTTTTAAAGTATGCAGAATTATGCCAAATAAATATATGTATAAATTTAAATACAACTTATATTTTTTAATAAGTTTACTAATTATGTATTTTTTTCTGTGAAAGTTCCTTATTTTTCAGTATCTATGCAAAATGCTAGGGGAAAAAAAATGTTTAAATCTGGACACAGATAATGTAAATATTTGTATATTGTTATAATAAAGGAAGCTGGGTCTTTCTCTTATTTGTGTGTAGAAGAATTTTAATTAAACAGTTAATAATTTATTAAGTTTTATATGATATAAAAATAGACAGTGGTTTTGCATCTAGTTCAACAAAATTTTAAATGGTTTTAAAATTTAAAAATTAGGTGATTATTTTAAAAGAATAAAAAACAATCATTTTCAGAATATGAAGAAGTCTTTCAATTAAAATTTTATGGAAAGACTATATTTAATTAAAAAGTTTTTCATTTTATCATTATTAATTTTTTATTTTCAGGAAAATATTTTCTTCCTTTATCATCTAAAATTATGTCAGCATCATTTAGATAAAAAACACAATAAAATATTTAGAATGTACTTTAAAAAGTTCAAAAATTTTACTGTATTTGTTTTTATATGTTTGTATGTTTATTTTATATTTAATTCATATTTTGAATATAGATTCAGTTTTGTTGTATTTTGTTTGTTCTTAAATTTTGACATTAGATAAATAAATAAATGTTTTTAGAAGTTAATTATTTTTATTTAATTTAAATGTTTTGTTTACTTACAAAAAAATCTAAAATTAGAATTTTAAAAAATTTTCATGGAAATGGAACATTTTGTAATAATAGATTTATTAAATAACAAATTTAGTTTGATAATTTTATAGTGTATGAAAAATAAACAAACAAAAGCTTTCTTATGAGAACATTCAGTATGGATGATGAAGGCTTATAATATTTTTATATGAACTTTTGAGGAATTCAACAGTGATTGGTAAAAACAGGAAGATTTCAAGAATCATAAAGATCTCAAGGTTTTATTGGAACAGTTTTATTTCATCTACTATTCACATAACACATTTTGACCATCTGTGTGACCCTCTTCAGATGTATATTGCTGATATCATATCTGTTGTTATTATACTATATTATACTAAACTTTTAAAAATTACATTTTAAAACTGAAAAAATCATTCTCTTTAGCATTATCCATTGCTAAACAGCCCCTTGTGTATAAAAAGTTTTGGCACATTCCATGGAATGTACCAAAGCTTTTTACACACTAAAATTAAAGCTGTACTTGTTAATATCAAGTAAAATGAAGATTCAATCTGAAAACTATTAGAAATATTAGAAAAAGTTAATCTTGTATCTATTTAAAGTTCATAAAAATAAAAGAAACACTAAAGACAGCAACTCTACCAAAAGATTATATTCCTGAAGTGTGTAAAGGATGACATCACAACTCACAAGACTGCATTTTTTTTAGCATTCTTTGAATGATAAAATATCTAAAGAAACAAATTAGAAAGTTTTCTAATCCCTTTTTATGTTATATGTTCTATTTTAAATGAAATTATTAATTTAAAATTAATTTTTGAGCTGCAATTGAAAAAATTGTAACCTGTAAATTCCCACTGCCTTTCCTGAATCTCAAGAACAGAGTTAAATAGATGAAAGACAAGACCAGATATGGAAACCTTAGGCAGTAATTTTCAACATTTTTTCGTCATGGTACACTTTTAATAATTTAAAACTTTGGTGGCATACTAACAATAACATAAATTTAAAAGATTGTTTTTACGGTACTGACTTTAACTAATGTTTTATTTGGAGAAATTAGGACATACAATATTTGCCTTATGATACTCTTGGCATTGGCACCGATTCCAAAAACTGTTCTTAAAGACCAACATGCATTAAACAGAAATTAATGGAAAAATTAACAGATAAATTGTATTTTAGATCTAGTCACTTGATGTTGGTATGATGATTGTTTTTTATTAAAAAATTTTAATCCTTTATATAATATGATAACTGCAGGTTTGACTGGATTCGTGGAATAATAAACAAAACAAATTTTATATCTGGCTATTTGGTTTCATTTTAATTTTTGTGTTTTACATTTAATATTTTTCATATAAACTTTTTTATCTTTCTTTAAAATTCTTTTATAAATTACAGAAATATTTTTACATTTTCTAAATGCCTCAGTAACTACTGGCAGTTACCAGTAACACTGGTTACACTTTCCAAATGTGCCCTATAGAACGTCCAAAGGTAGAACGGATTGAACTACTTGTCTGTGATTACTTATGTACAGGTATTCACAGTGGCGGCACACTAAGTGCCGCAGCACAGTGGTTGAGAATCACTGCCTTAGGGGCAGGAAACCCCGATTGACTATATATGAACTTCCGATTCAAACCAAAAGTCATTATATCAATTCAAAATTTTTTCCTGAAAGGTGTTAGATAGATGACTGGCACAACTCTATTGTTAAAGGAAAAGTATGATGTACAGGGGAAAGCCACTACTAATTTCAGGTGGAGAGCATATATTTTAAAGTAAGTAAATTAAAAATATTAAGAATTGCAGCCTGGCATTGTGACAATGTCACAATAAATAATTGTTTGTTTTATATTGATTTTAATAGCTTATTTTTTTAAATAAAAATTAACTAACTATTTGACTTACTTCTGACTCAAAACCAAGAGAGTGCTTAGTTCAATATACCTTCACTAACATTTTTGATCTACAGAGCATGCGCAAGTTTAAGATGATGACTGCATGGGTTTCCTTAGAACACTGCGTTTCAGAATTCGTATGAAACAGATACGTTCTAATAACATCAATTCTGCCCATTTTCTTTTATTCACCTGAAGAACTAAGTTTGAAAACGTTAGTGAAGGTATATTGAACTAAGCACTGTTTTGGTTTCGAGTCAGAATTAAGTCATATATTTTACAGTGTGTATAGATGAGATTATCTAACTAACTATTTGTAACTACAATCAAAACTTCAAATTAACTAATGAAATATTGACTTACCGTATTTATTGATCATTAGAATTGGATTTTACATTTGGGATTTATTTTGAAATGGACAAATCAAATAGATAAAACTCATAAGACTATAGTTTAGTGCTTTTATTGACTTTGACATTAAAAAGACATTATATAATATGAAGATTTATTAAATTTTATTTTTTAATCATAATAATTATTAACAATTAATTTTTAATTCATACACTGTTGTTTTCATATATTTGCAACAACAGCTAATTAATATATAATTGAAGTAAGAATTGTTGGCAATTTAAACTACTGTACTGAGAGTGAATAACAAAATGATTAGTAAATAAAATAAAATAAACCTTTAACTATCCAGCAATAAATAATGTTTAATAAAAACGTTTTCAACCGTTTTTAAACGGCCATCTTCATGGTAAATACTAATCATAAAATGATTAGTATTTACTTTTAAAGCAGTGGTTAAGTCTGATAACAAATGGTAATGAAAAATATCTATTAATGTGAAAGTAATAAATATAACTGAATTCTGGTTACAATAAGTGAAGCTTTTAAGTATATTTTAACTTATGTTTTGGGGCTTCCTAAAACAATTAAGACAGTGATAAAAAATGAACCTTTGAAACACTTGAACCTTTAACCGGTGTGTAATATGATTAATGTTATAAATCATATAAGATGATAATATCTGTGATTATAATAAGTGAATATAAAATTTTGAAACAATATTTAGATGCTATCTTGTTAAAATCTAAGGTAGTATGAATGCCATTGTTTTCATTGCTTGTTTCTTTCAATAAATTCACTAGTATATGAAATGCAGATAATACAAGGCTTTCAATAATTTTATATAATATAAATCTATTACAATTCTTTAAAATAACACAAAACAGATGTAATTCATTTTTTAAAAATTACAATTTTTAAAGCAATTTGTTTGAAATTGAATAACTTTCATAATGAAGGGTAAATTAATTCATCATCATTAACCCTGACTCAGGGTTGATGGATAAAAATCTCATGATTTTTGTCATGATCAATCACCTCTAACCTCAACGGTTCTTCAAATTTCATCTTCTCATCTAGCTATGTCTGTTCCTCAAATGCTTTCCATCATTTGGATACCAGTCTTATGATTCTTATCCACCTGTTGTCTGTTCTCCTTGCCATATGCCTAGCCCATTGACATTTTAATTTTTTTTATGCTTTGTGAAGGTCATTAATAAACTATCTTTGACATTTTTTGTTCTAATAATTTTAATGTATCAACAAATATTTATACTGTATTTACCATCACATTGACCATTTATCCTAACTTAATATTAGTGAAGAAATCAATTTAGTGGTATTAGTGATAGTTTAGTAATGCTAGTAAATTTAGTGATTTCATCATTAAAAGTAGGGCTGACAAGAAGACTGGTTATTTTCTGTAAGAACAGTGAAAACTTGGAGACTTGTAGTGGTTTCTATCCCTGTTAATGTTATTTTTACTAACAAAAAATAAAATATTTAAGACTGCTATTTAGTAATAAAGAACATTTTATGTATTTTGTTTGTTTAAAAAAAGGGGTGGCAAAAGCAGCCCATATCAAACTGATTAAAAGTTTTCAAAGCTGTATGAAGGGCAGAAATGATAAATTCTACATCACTTACAATGCATTTACAATATTTATGTATTAATATAATGGAAATATATCTAAAATGGATATTTACAGATAAATTACAATAAAAAAAGTACTGTAATAAAAGTATCCAGTCTTGTTTTGTTGAATTGAAATAGACTTTCTAGTTTCACTGTTTTTAGTAAATGATAATTACATCTTTAGAAACAATTCTTGAATGCATTACACAATTCTAATGTTTTTAGAAAAGGTTTGCTTCTACAAATAATATATAATGTATTATTTTAATCATTTGTGTGTTTCTGATAGTGGATTTTTCATTATTATATATTATGAGTTGTTTTGATTTAGATGTCTACTATGTTTTTATAATTAATAATAAGGATTTTAACAGTATGATTTGCATTTGTGTGGTTTAATTTTCAAGTATAAGTGAAGTAAGAATTGCAAATGTTTAGGTAATGAAACAATAAATATTTGAAAAACTTTATAATTGATTTCTAAGATGTTTACTTTTCTTTTGCTATAGATAAAAGCTTTATGATGTATACCTTAGAGTAAACAAGTAAAGTGAATTTAACAGTCATCAAAGTAAAAATTCGTGACTATTTTTAGATATGTATTAAATATTTATGAAATAATTCATATTTTTGCTTAAGAAATGTTTCAATGAAAACAGATTAAATCAGAAAATAATGGTGCAAATGGAAGATGTCCCATCATTCAAGATTTCTTTACATTGTGTATATGTTTTACGATTCAGATATTAGGAGAAACGTAATTTGCAATATAAAACATTATTCAGTTGTCAAAAATCATTCTGATTATTTCAAAACTTTGTAGAGAGTTCTCAGTGTTTTTTAAACATTTCCAGTCTTTTTCTAAGTCAAATCTCATGATGATGCATTTTCTATGTATAAATTATTTAAAATATCGTGTCCTATCATCTTTCTACTCTTTTTTCCTCTTAAAACTTTTCTTTTGATTAAATTTAGTACAGTTAATTAGCTAATTCAACCATTTCTACTATTTTTAATAATAATAATTGGTTAATTAATAATAATTATTAATAATTAAAATGAACATTTTGTTATATTTATTTACCTTTATAATCCAGCTTTGATTTTAAATTGCAGTGAATAAAAAAAAAATAAGTATAATCAGAAATTATAAAAAAATATTGAAGAAACTTTCAATGTACTGTTCTTAATCAATTTTAATATTTTAAACTTTCAATTCAGTAAAGAATTTATTAAAGAATGGCTTTGAAATTTCTCTTATTGCAGTTTCTTAGTTTATAAATTATTATTTACTTAAATCTTGTAAAATTAAAGGAGGAAATTGTTTACGAGCGCTTTTCGCCTTTATTCAGTGTTACTAACAGGAATTTGATTTAAATTATTTATTGTTTGTTATGTACAGTACATTTAATTCAATTTTACTTAAATTCTTATCTTTGATATCATCGGCATATTTTATACTTTGATAAATATTGATCTAATCAAACTTTAGTTTGGTTTAAATACCAGTGTTCTGTTATTACTACGCGAAATTCATAATTTACATACGAACTATTTTATAACTTGCGTTATTCTCTATTAAGTAATCCATCCGGCAGTTTTCGACATTGACATTCCAAGTATTTCTTACGTAGATTTGATAAATAATCTCGATTCCAAGCTTTCTTTGAAATTCCACATAAACCGCATAAGGAATCTTGCAGTTGGCACTTGCAATAATAGTATACAACGCGATCGATTATTTTTCATCGCGAATTTTCAATATCTGGTGGATTTTTACCTCCAAATTTGGTTTTTACTCTATCTGCCAGATTTTAAAATACTCTAAATAGGATTTACCTTCTGTTTAATAAGTTTATCTCATTTTCCAAACACCTAACTTCCCTGTTGTTAATAAGGAGCGGTTCTTTTTTCTTTGTATAATGCTTGTGTTATAAAAGTTAATAAAGAATAGCCTAGACATTTGAAATTACGGTTGTTTCTATTTTTATAATTGTTCTTTGTAAGGTGATGAAAATGACTAGTTCTTAGAAATGTTTTTAGTTAACAGGAAATGGAAACGTAAGAAGACTTCCTACATTCTCGTTAGTGTGTAATGGGCACAACATAAACAACTCTCCACGTGTGCTTTTAAGTTGTTCAAGAAGAAAAACCTATATAATAATCAAATTTAATTTTAAAGAATATTCTACAAAAAATAACAATAAAGAAATGTTTATTTCTTTTTGTCGTAAACTTGTAAATCGTCGAATTGTTTTTTTTTTTGCACTAATTATTCTTCTTTGAAGCTTTATAACTCCTGTGTCCTTTGTCGAAAATTTCTGAAATTTTGCAGGGAGGTTTGTTTATTAGGGGATTGATACTGTTAAATTTTGGTGATTAACGGTCGAGGGGGTCGAAGGATAGAGGGGATCGTGTGTCAAACTCTAGTGGGATCAGATTTTATTCGTTACTGGCATTTACAGTTGTTTTATTTTTCAAATAAAACCCATCTCTACCCTCTAATTAAGCTTTTTACCATTTTATAATTAAATAATATAAAGATTTTTTAAAAAAATAAAATGTCGCCACATCGCCACACAGTTTTAAATGTTTTTGCCGGGAAAGTTACGCAACTTATTGCTGGAATTTTTAATATACATATATAACAATGTCAAATATTTAATTTCCTTTAAATCGAATTTAAAGTTTTTTTTTTAATTGGAATTTCACCAAATAATAATCGATATTTAAACTTGTAATATAATTTTATAATAATAATAATTATTATTAGATAAATTTCTTTTTTATTACAGTTTTTTATTATAACTTGAAATTTATTTCAAAACAGCATTTACGTAACTTTTTCATTACATTTTCTCTTAATGACTAAAGAAATATACAGAAAATTAGATTTTTAATTACATTAGGACCTCGATTTAACGTATTAAACGGTATTTAATCGAAGTCTGCTGTATTTTTATTTAGTTAAAAATTATGTGTAATTTTTTCAATTCTATCGCTTATTGACCATTAATTACGTGTATAGTTTAAGGGGTGAGGGGGTCGTGAAAAGTACAGTATGCTACATCATTGTATACGATGAGGCTTTGTCTACGTGGACTTCTTTAGCACTTTAATGCGAAATAATATAGAAATTAAGTGAAATCCTGGAGTAATTTTAGTGTAAAAACCTAATAAACAAACATTGTGAAAAGATAAATAAATCAGTTCTAACAAATTGTACAAAATGACTAATTCGCAATAATATGTAATTAAATGTAAATGCGTGAACTTGTTGATATTAACTATAACACGACATACTTTTAGTAAGGTCAAGTGTTTGTTAACAATCACGTTTGTATCTGGGAAACGAAGATACTTCTAATTGTTGTAAAAACAATAATTGAATTGAATTAAAATGCCTTATTTTAATTAATATATACATAAAATAGAATTTCCATTAACGCTGTCTAGAAAAAAAAACAAAAGATTTGTATTGTGCTACCTTCACTTGTCAATTGGAGGTTAGAACGAATAATTGAAGATGCTGCATTGAAATAAACGTCCTTGTCAATTAAGTTTTATACTAGGAGTTAAAATGTGATCTTTCGCATCTCATTAACGATTTAGTTACATAAATAAGTTAATTTTATTTAAATTAATGATAAATCGATCATCTCCGGTTTAAAATTTCGTCGCTTTACTATTGTTTTATTTAGTGATTTATATTTCTTTTAATTTTTTATGGTCAAATCATCTTTTATTAACAAAATTATTGAATATTTATTGAAAATTATAAACAAGATTCTGTAAATTTATCGCTTGACCATTAATTATGTGTACAATTTAAGGGGTGAACGGGGTCGCGAAAAGTACAATAAGCTACATAGTTGTATACGATGAGGCTTTGTCTAAAGGACTTTTTTAACAATATTGATGGCGTACGAATAATCCAATTTACTAATCATACGAATAAACTATCAGAAAATATTTGCAGAACTTTTTAAAGTCAAGCCTTCAATGTCAGGGAGGTGTACGAACTATTGTACGAGTAAATAAAGGAGAGGATTTGCCAAAAGTATCCTACATCATTGTAAACAACGGAGGAAGAGGATTAAAACTGACTGAAAAACTTACGCGTGATTAGTGTACGACCCTTATATTATTTTAATTCTAGCTACTATTTACAACAATGCATTTTAAGTTCAGATCTACAAGTTTTTCTATGAAATATTTTTTCCTTAAATTAATTTTATTATGAGCTTAATAGAATGATACTTCAATTTCAGATTTCTGTTTTTTACATAATGGAATTTCATTTCATTTTAGCTTAATAGTTAAACTATTAAGCTAAAATGAATTTAAATTAGAACTGATTTTTAAATATTGTTTTAATTAGAAATAACGTAGGAACAACATTAACACAAGTTTGCAAATTTTGCTACAGTAAATCATAAGTTATAAATAACCTTTACGAGATTTATATACATTTCTTCAATATTTCTTGAGGGGAAAAAAAGAAATTGGATACTCTTGGATAATATTAAAGTAAAGATCTTTTAAGATCTGTGACAGAGACTGCGCAATTTCTAATATAGTCAAGTTATTGTCTTTTGTAAAAACTGATTCCGATATGAAGGAGATCATCCAGTAAGAACAAATTGCTCCCCAAGGCTGGATTATGTCAGTCACAATCGATATCGAATCTCTAGAGTTAGAAACGATGTTACTAAAGACTTATCAACAGGCAGACGTCAACGGTAGCAACTTGACTTCTTCCCAATATTGGGAAAACGTCCTGAATCCGGAATTCTTGGCCATCGTTCCTCATCATTGGCTCCAGTTTCCCGTTCCGGATGCAAGAATCCAATTTTTTCTGGGAGTGATTTATATATTCATTCTAATACCTGGAATTGGGGCTAATTCTTTGATAGTATTTCTATTTTTTAAGTAAGTAAAATATTTTTTTTAAACTAATTGATAATTTTGGTCTGTTTTTTTTCTTGTTTTCAATGCGTTTTACTTTTATGTTGAGACTTAATTTAGTAAATTGCCATATTTGTTTCAGTACACTGATATAGATTGTATAAGAAGAAATTTTAAGTAGATGGAAATTCAATATTGAATATACAAAAATAGCCACCTTAATGAATACAGAGAAAACGATATATACTGTATTTTCTAATTCCGCTGCTTGATTTAGAAATATCAATTATTTAATTTTAAATATGGAAATTCGAATAAACTTTATTAAAATGTTTCTGGAAAATTAATTAGAGCCTTTATAGAGAAACCTTTCTAAACTTGATGCAAAGCAATTAATATTTAATGAAGCGCTTTATTCTCTATTGTAGCAATGAAGCACTTTGTTTGTTAAGGCACTTAGTTTTATTAATTAGAAAATTAATTGATACTTTTTGAGAATATTTCACGAAATCTTTATGGATATTTAAAATGGCATAGAACACATTTTTAACATATAAATCATATTATTAATATATAGAGTGTCGTATACATTATTTAAAGCCCATTTTGTATAACATACAAAACGGATTCTTCGAAAATTTATTGCATTTATTACTTTAATTTGTTTTTTTCTTTTAATTTTTTTCCTTAGAATCAAATCTTTAAGGACTCCTTCGAATTTGCTTGTATTTAATTTAGCCGTCAGCGACTTAATGATGAATTGTAAAATGCCTTTGTTTGTATACAATAGTTTTTCTTTGGGGCCAGCAACTGGTTTGTGGGGTAAGTGTACCATTTTTATTCTATTTCTTTTAAATTTCGTGTTAATTTAGTGAATATTTTATTTAGCTTTTCATTGTTCTTTGTAACGTTGAACAAAGTTGTTCATTGTTCAACTTTAATACAATAATTATATAGGCAAAAATCAGTTAACCGAACTGTAGTTTGAAAGAGCAGTCAAGATGGCATCCTACCTACTGAGGAACTTTGTGAGTCTGGGTGCAAGATTCATTAAGGAGATGCCTCCTTGTGAGCCTGGTCACACCCATAATGGGCATTAAAAGACCCTCTTACTGTTCAAAGGCCAAAAGTTTTTTTTTTTTAAGCTACAGCTTAAGATTATTTAAACCATTATTAAAAATATATGTTTTTAAATTGACTTTTAGGCCACCCTGTATGATTATTATTTTAAATTATAAGTAGATTAAATAAATAAACTGTTTGTATATGATTTTTTTCATTGACTGATTCTTAGAAAATGTCATTTTGTTACGAAATATGAAAACAATTTAAAGAAATTATTTTAAATTTTCTTTTAGTTAATAAAATAAAATGTTGCTGAGCGAAAAAGATATTCATCAAGTATCCATGTTTAATGATTGAGTACATTATATATATTTTTTTAAAAATGTATTCTAAATTAAATAATAAGATTGTATAATTTATTATTTTTTCTCTGTTAAATTAATAAACAAATATATCTTCTAACTCAATTACTGGTACTAATGACAACCATTAAAGAACCTTTAAACCTTAAAAAGTAAATAAACACAATTATTTATAAAATTAGTTAAACCGATTTTATTAAAGGAATTAGTTTGCATTTAAATATAATTTAATTATTCTAAACTCTAGTTGATTTAATTAAATTTAATTACTCTAGGATTAATTTAATTTAACAAAAAAAACGAAAAAGTTGTATTGATGTTAGTTGCTTTTTTATCAACAAAAGTAATTTTTTACGATGGAAATTTCTAAATGAAAATTATTTTAATAAACAGAAAGATAATAACATCTCATTTGAAACTGAATAAAGACACTTATTCAAAGTTGAATTAAATTTCATTTATATGTTTTCTTGTCATAACTAATAATGAGATATAGTATACTTTTTACGTTATTTAATATGAAATACAGAAGTGGTTCTCAAAGTTATCGATCCGCAGACCACTTAAAGCCCAGTCATACGAACCACGGACCACCTATTTTTTATCCTGTGGTCGAGTAGATAAAACTACTGATCGTGGGTTCTCACCCGACGGGCTGGTCGAGTGAGTTTTCAGAGTTTTCTTCACATGTCTAATCCTTAAATAGTGATCACTTTCATATAGAAAGTCCTTCGGGAGACAACCCTTGGAAGATGCCCATGTGTTGCGTTGCTTCTATCCTACCAAACCATACCAAACCAAACTTTTATCCTGTAAATATCAATTTAGGTACTGGCCAAAATATTTGTCTATCGGGTAATCTAACGTAAGAGATATGTGATGCGTGAAAATATTGTTTTCTCTGGCTAAAAAGCATGGAATTATATTTCGGAAAAATGGCTAGATCAGTCTGCGGATCACCGGTGATCCACGGACCTCGAGAACCACTGAAATACACCGTAATAAATTATATAATTAAGCTGAGTTTTTTCTTGAACGTATTTTCGTGATAATTATTAAAATGTTTACATTTTATTAAGTAGCCACGGAAATGTTGCTTTCATAATTTAGATTATAAGTAATTGTAAAGTTTTCTGTATAAATTTCAGTGTTAACAGAATGTTTGTTTGTAGGTTGTCAACTTTATGGATTCGTAGGTGGTCTTTCGGGAACGTGCGCCATTTTAACTATCTCTGCCATGGCTTTCGAAAGATACAACACCATATCTAATCCATTAGATGTCAATGTAAAAATGAGCAAATCTAAAGCTTACAAGACTGTTATTTTCATCTGGATTTATGCTTTAAATTTTTCTATTCCTCCTCTCTTCGGCTTGAATCGATATGTACCCGAAGGTTACTTAACCAGCTGTTCTTTTGATTATCTGGACGAAAGATGGCTTCCTCGAGGATTCGTTTTGGTTTTCTTTGTGGCGGCTTGGTGCATTCCTCTAGTGATCATATGCTGGTGTTATTTAGGAATCTTAATAAAAGTTAGGAATCACGAAAAGAACTTCACTCTACAAGAACGTCGAATGACCATTAGAAAAAAAGTAGTCAAGAAATATTCCACGGAAATTCGATTAGCTAAAATAGCATTTGGACTAATTTCGCTTTGGTTCGTGGCTTGGACGCCTTATGCCATCGTAGCGCTTATAGGTGCATTCTTTGACAGAAAGCTACTCACTCCTTTGTCATCTATGATTCCCGCCTTATTTTGTAAATCTGCATCGGTTGTTGACCCTTTTATTTACGGTTTGACACATCCAAAATTTAAAATTGAGATAAAGCGCCTTGTAAAACCTTGTGGTAGAAAAAACAAAGACGAAATGGTTAGATCCAGTACCATGTTTAGATCTACGAAATCCATACAATCTATTTCTTCAGAGAATATCGAGATGGAATTCTTTCCCGAAAGCATTGTAGCAGACTCCAACGAATGCATTTTGTCGGAAATTAAAGCTGAAGCCAGTGCTGAAGTTAGTGTTTATACTATTCCGGTAGTTGACGATGTTGTCACTCGGGGAGAAGAAGTTAAAACAAGATACAGAAGATCAATTTAAGTGATCGATCGCGAATTAGTGAGAAACACTTTTGTTGGGAAGAATTGTAGCATATCTTACCTGCAGCGGCTGTTAAACTTAGTATGATTTGAAATTCAAAGTGAAAATAATTCATGAAAATGCATGAATATAGTTATAGTTTATATTGACAATCATTTAAGCTTTAGAGTTTATCATCTTAATATAGTAAAATCTCGTACCACGTTTCGAAAATTCATTAATATATTTTAAAATATAAGATATACACTGAATATGTTTATTTTTCCCACTTTATCACGTAACAATAATTATTTAATAACGTAAGAATTATATACTTTTATATTTTATCACACACACACGTATATGTACTTTTTTAGAATGAAAATTTTCTAGAAAATGTAATTATATTAGAATTCAAAATAAATATCTTCACCGAAAAAAGTTTTATATACTTTATAACAAAATCATTACTTCTTATTTACAACTGCATGTAATTTTTACATAAAACTATTTAAGTTTGAAAATTGTCTCTACAAAAACAGCGTTATTTTGATTTCCCCTGATTTAACAAGAACTTGGCAATTGACAACCTTAATCTGCTTAGTGATTGGTATGAGATTACGTGATTTATGTGATTACATTTAAATGTTTTATATTAACGATACATGGATTTTATTACGATCTCTAAACATTTTTGTTTCCGAAAACTTCGTGTCTTTAAAATATTCGCTAGAATAAGCGAAGAAATTTATAAAATTTTGGTATGTTAGCAGGACTAATCGAGAACATTCAGTATCTACACATTCTGCCATATTATCTACAGTTTATAACACCACCTTGCACTAATTTCATATATTCCACCATCAGAGCTTGCGCTAAGAAAGTGAGCATCCAGGGGAAGATGGAGCCTCAGAATCGGAACCAAGTGTAATAATATGTAACAAAACTTAAGCTCCATAAAAGGCAATAACATTTTGATTACGTATCATCTATTTAACTCGATTTCCTATTTTTTTAAATGAAAAAGCCGTTGTTAACTTTAGTGTGAAGATTTGTCCGGTTTCAGTTGATGTCAATTAGTAATTAAAAGTTAGTGTTTGATCCTTCTAGGCGATTAGACAATACTGTATATATATATATTTTTTAAAATCAAAGTTTAATGTATTGTTTCCTTTAGCTTATTTACATTTTTCTGCTCTGTTATACTAAACAGTGATATCGTCTTTCTCTACGTTCGCTTTCGACCTGCTATTGTGAATGAGTGTTTATTTCTCTAAGCTATCATAACATTAATTTTTATCTATACTTTCTGCTTGGAAGTTATAACAGCTGACACGTCAAAGTTTTATATTCTCATTTTATGTATAATTAAATTTTACTGTCAAGAACGCATTTATATTATCAATATCTTAAATTCATAATAACGAGAAAACGAATTTGAAAAGCGAATAAATTTACACTAGCACTTGTAAACAAAGCTCGACTGAAGTCATCGAAATCTCTTACATAATATTGTTTGAAATGATTTAAAGCAGGTGTGTCAAACTCATTTAAACAATGGGCCATTAATGCGACTGGTAAGATTCACGAGGGCCACATCACATTTACAAATTTTCTAAAACTTATAATTTGAAGTGAGAATGCAGGAATATAGATAGGGCAATTAAAACACATTATGTAGTTTAGTGAATTCAACTCAACAATATATAATTGCTATAGTATTGCTTTTATTTAAAAAATTTATTTTATTTAATGTACATACAGTATTTATAAAACTGAAATTAATTGTTTTCACTGGAAACTCGCCAGCGCTATCTTCCTCCTCCTCCTTTTCCAACATTGGAATCAAAGATTGAGAACAATTTTCATCATGGCAGATAGATGTTTATCAGTTAATCTTGATCTGTAAGCCGTTTTATTTAATTTCAGAGCATCGTGGCCAGGGACCACGAAAAATCACATCGGAAGCCGCCAGTTTGACATCTCTGATTTAAAGTATACGGGAGAATGTGCGCAGGTTATAAATACTATGCCATTTTATATAAAACTTGAGCATACCCGGATTTTGGTATCAGTTGTGCCTCCGGATACTACTTATATATTATTTGATAAGCCTCAAATATTGTCCAGCTACGTTTGAGAGAAGAGCTGAGGGCACAAACATTGTTTAGGTATCAAAATAAATCTCTTGCCCTGTAGATGAGTCCTTTGCAATTATAAATGAAAAATTCACCACCGTTCGGGCGTGGAGGAGTGGCAATGGTATAATGTTAAGTCTATGTCCGGCGCTCGCGCGCTATCTGGCCATTTAGTATTTTTTTAAAACCGTCAGAACAATCCGTTACTCACCCCTATTCTGAATTCCTGCTTCTTTTGCTAATTACACGATAATTAAAAGACTTTTTGCATTATTTTTTTAACACGACTAAAGTATTTTAATTTTTTAGAATCCGTAATAAAATAGTATGTATTAGTAAAATAGACGCATGTACTGTATTTTTCAACTCTAAATAATACAAGTTTTTCAAAATAAATTAGTTTTGACAATATTGCACGTCAAATCTTGTTTTTATTTTATGATTACTCCATGATGAGACCAAAACGTGATTTAACCCCACGTTTGTTCCTCTGTTGCAACATAAATGGAAAGTCCTTCAATAAGAGATCGATCTAGCACATCAAAAACTATAGTAACACCTGAAGAGATTTGTCCGTTGCCAAAAGCTGAAAAGGCCAAAGAAACAGAAAGGTTTGTGGATGTAGCATACTATACTTTGACAACCCTACATAACATTTGTAAAGATATTTCACTGATCTTTCACTGTTTTTGAATTTTAAGGATAGTCCAGAATTTTCAAGGACACCGATGAAGAGACAACTCGAAGAAGAAACTCAAGCTTTTGGTAAGAAGAAAGCTAAGTCTAATGTGCCAGTGAAACACAAAGAATAGGAACGCTCGACATTAGGCTTGTTCTAGTATGCGAATCAAGCGAAAAGCCAATGTTTGAAATAGATATCCCCTACAAAGATGATTCGTCTTTGAATCTCATCGATGATGATGACAATTATGATGAAAATGCAAGTAGCCTCTCCGATTACGAATAGAATGTGGATAACTTTATCCTGACAAAGCTTTCTGGAAAAACTAAGAACAACACACGACATTTTGTTGCGAAAATAATGACTGCATATTTAGACGATGATTTCAATGTCAAATGGTTGAAGACTAACAAATTTCAATTTTCAGATGAAAAAGAGGCAAATGTAAGCAAGCTTGACATTGTTTTAAAGCTACCTTGTCCATTTTACCATAGTGAACGTGGTCATTTTTCTAAAAGTTAAGCTTTTGAATTTCCTGTTTATGGAGTTATTTAACGTAGCATTTCATATGTATCCACTGTCGGGGTTAACTGGGCCACTTGATATGTTAACAATAATATCTTTTTACACACTTTGTTTTATGCACATGCAGACATAACTGTTTTTTTCTTATTTACCCGTAAGCCCGTAACATAGCATAAAGAAAATAAAAGTTTCTACATCGTAAAACATATTAAAAAACATTGAAAATTACAGGTCTACAATTTTTTCAAATTGCAGCCCAAAGATTGTACTCAGTTAATCCAGCTCTCCTGTATAGATAGTAAGGTATTGATACTCGATCACTAAGTAGTTATTACTCGAATCAAGTAACGTATTTAGAATTTCTATTCAGTTGATGTTAGCATAAGTTTGTGTTTTATGTTTATTTATACAGTGAGTTTTTGTTATTTTTATTTTGTTTGAATAGTTGCTTCAAAGCTGATCAAGTTAATGAGGTTTCATATATAGGCTAAAAGTATATTTTTAGCTCGTACTATAAAATTACATTAAATAATAACTTTTTGTTTGGGATTTTTCGTTTGTTTGCAGAATCCATTACGTAATTTATTGCCGTAATCCTCACAATTAACTACTGAACGAGTACAAAATAAATATGAGTTATAATACAATATACTGTACAGTAATATTTTTCTGTTTGAATTGCCAAATGGAAGGAGTTTGGAGAACATCCAAAACCTCAGTGTACATGACTTTATCGGTAAGAATTATAAGTTTCTAGTCGCTTTTCTATAATCATTCAATTGGTTGAAATCGTGGCAAATATAAAATAAAAAACAAGTTCAATACTTTCGAATAAAATACTTGACTAATAGAGTTCGTCGATTATGCTAATTTTGGCTAGTTACAATCCGATAATAAGCCTGACATGGCGCTTGTTAGTTGCAACACTGTAAAATTCTCAACTCTGTTGCATAAAAGTGTTAGCAAGAGAATACGTCAACATCACAGCGAAGCCCACACAGTTGAAACTCCACCCACCCACCTATCCGTCTAATTCATCGAACTACTAATAAGAACACGGCTTCCATAAACGGAAATGATTTCATACAGTGAAATATCGTTGCAAATAAAACATATTCCAACATTTTAATAAACAATATTCAAATTTTAACAAATGTCATAGATAATTTTGCACTGTTATCAATTTCTGCAATGATTTCTTATTACAATTTAAAAACGAAATCAAATTCTCTAACAATCAGTATACGTGTGTGTACAGCCAAATATAAGCCTAATCCATTACACTCATTAATGACTAATTTAAAAAAAAAAACAAAAATAACTGTTATCGTTCTATATATTTAATAATTATTAATAGTTTCGATATCAATTATCGTCATTTCTAATTGCTAATAAATTCGTTTGACAGATTATAAATTATCACTGAGTTAGAATTATTTATTATGCCATAACGTAACGTGAAAAACATTTCAGTAATGCAAATAAAATTGTTTTTTTAATGCAATAACTGAACACATATTTTTATATCCTTTTTTATTAACTTCAGTTGTCTGTTTGTCCGTCCGTCCAAATAAATTAACTCGATTTTCACCCAATTTCAGATTTAGAAAAGAAACACTTTTTATTCATATAAATACAATAAAAGGTAATAAAAAATATATTTTTCATCTTTTACAGTATTTTTGGTGTTATGTATTATGCAACCAAAAATAAAAGCGTGGGGCGTTCATGTTTAGAAATATTCTTATAAATAATTAAAGTTTAAAAATCTGTGTCAAAATCATTATTTGTATACTTAAGATATTAAATATTGCCTTGGTTGAATGAAAAGTAATGAAATTAAACACTTTCATTAATTTATCTGTAATATTTGTATATGGCTTTATTTAGTCATAATAAATAAAAAGCCAAAAGTCCCCAGCATTCCGCTGTACGCTTAATGT